AAAAATGACCTTAAGTCAACAATTTTCTATTGTAAATAACATTTAACAAACAATAGACTATACATTAGTTACATAACTGTTAAAGTTCTTAATTTTGAAACAGTTAAGAGAAAAAAATATTTGTTTGAAAACGTAACGAGGAGGAGCAGTGGCAGAAGCAGATCCAGAAAAAAATATCATCGGAGGCAAATGTATATCAAATTTTAAAAATATACAATATCATCTAAATAATATGAAAAGAAAAAATGGTTTCCTTAAAAACTAACAGTTATTATTAGTAATCTATGATTTTTAGTTACTTCATAATTGATATATATGAGTTTCCATGTAATTTATCATTAAGTATTTGGACTTTAGATTAATTATTTTTTGTTTTTTTAACATTTGAGTCAACCAATAAAAAGAATGGGGCAAAATATAAATTATCAATAGGGGCATAATTAAACTCTTTAAACATTACACTAATTTGTACAAAATCATGGGGCAACTGCCCCCCTCCTTATACCACATGCCTCCGCCCCTGACGAAGAGTTAATTAAATTAATACGGTAGCTACATTCATTATAGGAAATTGTTATGTTTATTTTAATTCTATTTTTCTTCAACGTTTTCGTACCGAACGCAAATAAACTGAATTAATTTAGTAAGTTATATATTGTTTAGTAAATAATGAGAGAATGAGAAGTAATTCGTAAAAAGTAGATTATTTAGCTTCGAGAGCTAAATACAATTCAGTTTCTCTCAAGAGCAAATAAAAAAAAAAATTCATATATGCAGCTTTGACGGCTACCTTAGCGCCAAAGCTGTCTCCCTTGTTCGTGTTTTTCTATTTTCAGTATTCTTGTTGAATCCCATCGCGTTTTGCTTGTATTTGCCTCCGACGATAGGTTCTCTTTATCCGTTTCGACGATGAAATCCGGCGATTCTTTCGATGATGAGAATAGATTTGGTGAGGTGATGAAGGTGCGGTGTTTTATTTTCGGTTTCTATTCTTTCTCGCTACAGATCTGATTTTTTTAGCCAGGTTATGGCTTATGTCTTGTGGGTTTGCTATTGAAGCTTGCTCGATCCTTTAATCTTGGGTTTGTTGCTCCTTTTGTGCGCTCTTTTCTCAGTTATTGTCTCAGGTCTAGCCGCTTCCTATTCGGTAGAGGCGGTTTTAAAAACTGGTTCTCTCTCTCCGCCTCGGATTTGGAGGTCTTCACCATAGCTGGTTACTATCTCCTTGTAATCTTATCAACGAACGAGGTTTCGTATCATGGTTTTGTTCGTCAGTGCTGCCTCAGTTGGCTCCGCTACGTCGGAGCAGTATATGAGGGTTTGGTAGCAACTGATCAGTCGTTTTATTTCGGTAAGGAAGGGATTCAATCTCTATTCGCTTGGATGATTCTTCTAGTCCCGGATCTGTTGTAGTCTTAAATGGATTACGTTTCGATCTTATCTCATGAACCTCAAGCATAATCTTTGTTAGTTTATCTATCTGTTAGCGATTTGGATTAGTCTTTTGTCTTTGATGTATTTTTATGTTCTAATCTAGTTTTCTAGGAATCGGGCTTTTAACTCCCATAAATCGGGTTTGTGACTCCTGGAAAGCTAGCTCTTGTAAACATTATGTGTTTTTAGTGAAAATCTTTAGAAGTAATTCGTAAAATGGTGCAATTCACAATTGACACACTCCAAAGTTTATGTACATGAACTAGACAAACCAGACATTGGCCTAAACCAACCAGAGTCATAAACCAAACCAAACCAAAGAGAAATCAAATACTGGTTTATACCAATTTTCTTGGAATTCAAACGAAATTGTTAGATTGTGAACGGATTTCTTTGGTATAATAGTGTAATTACTTGTAAACGGTTCAGAAATCGATTCGAATTAAGGCATGGCTTAGGCGATCCTCAGATTCTAATTGCTTCTTTTTTAGTTTTTTCAATTAGAATTTATTTATCTATAATTAATTATTAAAAAGATAAATATGTCAACATTAACCTATTTATTTAATTTAAAAAAAAACGTGGTCTAGTTTATTAATTTTAATTGTTTTTTGGCCTATTTCATAATTTTCCCTTACAACAAACTAGAAAAAACATTAGACAAATACAACAACAAACATAGTAACAAACCTAGCACCAGCTAAAACTGCGCGGAAGAGGACATAGGCCAGGGCAAAATTGAAGTACACATCCAAGACTGTGATTGGCACGACAAGAAATGTTATGAACTCTGGTTGTTTTACTCTTTTAAGCCACAAAGCGAAATAGAGGATCACGGCGGTACGCCAAAGCTGCACCCCAACACTTTTCCGGCCATTTGTTTTCCGACCTCATCAGCCACTAACATGAATAGCACGATGACCATACCCAAGTGGACAGTAACCGAAACAAATTCTAAAAATTATTCTCTCTCAACTTTCCTATCCATTTTTGAGTGAATTTATGTGTGCGAGACAAGAGATCTGCGTTATGGAAAAATGGTCTTTTATAGCGTGAACGATCTGATCTCTCTATAAAGTAAATCCTAATAAGAGATTTATTCCTCCACCGTCGATTAGATCATTTCTCAACGGCTAGGATTTCTCTTTTTATCGATCCTCGTAAAAGTTATTGAGGGTTGTTTAAGACCGTTGATCAGATAAATCACATCAACGGCTTACGTTTGATCTATCTCTTTTCAACGCAGCTAAATTACTATTTTGCCCCTCTTGGAGTAGTCTCCAAGTTTTCAAGCTTGAAATACCATTTCTGCCATTTCGAGACACTTCCAAACCGTGTCTACTTTTTTTCCTTTCATTAAAAGTGTTTATTATTTTTGAGTGACATTAACCGCATCAAATCCAAATGGACAATAACCGCATCAAATTCTATAAATTCTTCTCTCTCAAATTCCGTATCCATTTTTGAGTGAATTTCGGTGTGCGA